TACAGTGGGTATAGAAAAGAATCACCCCCTTTAAAATAATCACATTTTGTTGCTTTGCAGTCTGAAATGAAGATGAACACAGTTTTTGTTTTATCTGCTGTATTTACTCAGAGCAACTTATAACATCCAAGTGAAAGATATAACACCAACATGAAAAAAATAAAAAAAACAGAATCACTGATTTGGAAAAAGGATCACACCCTCCTAAAAAATGACTTGTAAACTCAGTCAGGTGTAGCTAATCATCTTCTCAGTGGCACACAAAGCCATTTGACTTCCAGCTGTGATCAGCTGTACTCATTTTGATCAGCTCAGCATGAAAAGAGCTTTCCTGGAGCATTTCAGTCCTTGGTAGTGCAACTGAAGCAAACAATCAACTATGGGTGGCAAGGCACTGTCAAAAGATCTCCCCCAGACTTAAACCCCACTGAAAATCTGTGGAATGACATGAAGACTGCAGTCCACAAACACTCACCATCAAATTTAACTGAACTTGAGGAGTTCTGCAAAGAAGAGTGGGCAAATATTGTAAAGTCTAGATGTGCAAAGATAGTAGAGACAAATCCCAACAGATTAAAGGCTGTAATTAAAGCAAAAGGTGGTTTAACGAAATACTGACACAAGCGCGTGATCCTTTTTCCAAATGATATGATTATTATTATTTATTTATTTTTTCTGACATGTTGGTGTTATGTCTTTCACTTGGATGTTATACGGAGTAAATACAGCAGATAAAACAAAAACTGTGTCCGTCTTCATTTCAGGCTGCAAAGCAACAAAATGTGATTATTTTAAAGGGGGTGATTCTTTTCTATACCCACATATATTATTTTCTTTTCTGTTCTTTTAATGTTGGGGTAAAATATCACCTGGACATGTTGTTTGTAAATTTGATATATTATTACTATTATTATTTTACATTTTAAGAATGTATTTTCTAAATTATACTGACTTTCTTTCTGTAGACTTCTTTGACCCCTTCGGTGTGGGGTCGGCCTCTGCAGGGTCCGATCTGTTTGGTGACCTCCTGGGGTCAGACAGTGCTAGTAGTGGGTTCAAAGCTCCGCCTCCTGCATCCAACTCCAGCCTCTTTAACCTTAGTGAGTTCCGCTCTGATTTACATATAATTCAAACCATTGGAATACTTAATAACATGTTATTCAGTATAAAAATAATCGCCTTATTTAAAATGGACACAAAAATTGTGGTTATTGAGAGGGAAGTTCTGTGCTGTTTTCAAAGCAAACTTCGGGGTGTCTGAAAATGTTTTGCCAGATAAGTTATCAAGCGAGACTCCGAAGATGACATCATCAGCGAGTCAGCCTGATCTGTTAGGTGGCTGGGAAAACTGGACCACAGGAGGAACCAGCACGACTAGTAACATGACCACTGCTGCCAGCAAACCTACTATGAGTGGTAATCAATCAGTCATTCATTCAGATAACCAAAACAGTTACTTTGTTTAGGTCTAGTCTAATTTATTATTAGTTAATGCATTAATTAAGATTAAGTAACATGGAGCAATATATTTTGGTTGCACTTTATTTGAAGGTGTCGTTGATACAGTATAAATGTATAATTATGAAGTAAAATTTATTAACAACGTACTTAGTATAGGATTAGGATTTGGGCTTACAGTTTATTTTACAGTACGTACACTTACCTGTACTTACAGTGTACGCACATAAGAAAGTATTGGATAATATAAGGTAATTACATGGGTTAGGGTTAGGTTTAAGGGTAGGTTCAGGGTTAGTACCTAGTTAATACCCAGTTATTGTAATTTCTATAACAAGTACATAGTATGTACATGCGGAACAGGACTGTAAAATAAAGCTCCCGGGTTTGGTTTAAGGTTAGTTTCTTGTAATTATGTGTAATTTACTGTTATTACTATAGTAAGAACATGCAACATAACAAGGAAAAAATAATGAATTACCTACATTTTTACAGCATTTATTAAACTTTGTTAATGTTAGTTAATAAAAATATCCATGTTAGTTCACAGCTGTTATTGAAGTATCATTGAGATATATTTACTATTAATAATAACAGTTATTAATAATAATAATATATAATATTATAATAATAATATTTACTATTATTATTTTGAAATAGTTGATATTTTTATGTTTTCCGTTTTGTTTAATTTGAAAGTTGTATTTTTTTTTTTCAATGTCAAATTTTTATTTCAGTTTTATTTTTAGTTATTTTCATACATTAAGATAAAATGACAAATGTTGCCTTGACAACTAGCTGAAATAAAATAAGTTTAAAGTTTTTTTATATTTCGTTTTATTTTTTAATTTTTAAATTTTCTTTACTTTTTTAAAATTGTTTTATGGTTTTAGTTTACTTTGAATAACCCTGGTTCACAGTGCATTAACTAATGTTAACTAATACATTTTGAAATGTATTAGTAAATGCTGAGACTACCATTAACTAAGGTTAATAGATGATTTTGTTCATTGTTAGTTCATGTTAACAAATGTACTTAACTAATGTTACCAATTGAAACCTTATTGTAAAGTGCTAACGTTGAGTTTAACCATTACTCTGGTCATACAATCAAATATTTCCTAAGTTTACTAGCCAATCAGATTTCTTGTTTAATCATTAGACTGCTCACAATCCAGTTGCGGCAGCCCATAAAGCATTTAAAACGTTTCTTTTGTAACCCATTGACTTTGTGTTTGTACAGCCTCAGGAGTCTCATCTTTCTCCAAGGCCAAATCTCAAAGCTTTGACCCCTTCGCAGACCTGGGTAACCTGGGCTCAACACTGCCTGGTATGTTTGTTTACTCTTTACCAGACTGCTTTCTCACATATCACTCGTATCATGTACCTAACACTGATTTGTGTTCAGGCTCGGCCAGTACTGGTTTCTCTGGCTCAGGTTTAAAAATGGCGCCCTCTGCAGGAGGCCCTAAGAACTCAGGTCAGCAGTGGCAGCAGGCTCCTCGGCCCTCCTCTGGCCCCAGCAAACCCTGGATGCCTCCAAGCTCGGCACCCAGAACGCAAACCCAGCGCTCCAAACCCACCACCCAACCGGCTAAACCAAACTACAAGCCCAGCTTCAGTGTGATCAGTGGACGAGAAGAGAGGGGGATCCGTGGGCCAGGCTTTGGTACGCTTTCACCAGTTTCAGAACAAATGTGCATGAAAATTGGGGAAAAAACAATCATATATACATACATACATACAGGGACGTTTCCTCAAAGGAGCAGCCAGTGCCTCCTCAACAAATTGGGTGAGAATTTTTTTTTACCAAAACCCCCCCCCACAAATATTAATGGGAAGATTAATTAAAAAGCAAGTAAACAACTCACCCACTTAGATATCAGTGCTTTGTCATGTCAAAATCAAACCTGAAAGGACTTGAAAAGACAATCTGTGAGGGTTTTTTAGTGAGCAGTCGGTTTGGTGAAATTTGGGACATCTCCATGTCTGTGACCATCATGACACCTACAGCGTTTAATGAGCTTTGATGACTAATGATCCAAAAATAAGCTGACTTTTAAACAGAACAGCTGAACAAGTAAAATATAGATACCGTATTGTCCCGAATATAAGACGATATTTTTTTCTTGGAAATACATCTGAAAAAACGAGGTCGTCTTATATTCAGGGTCTATACTTTCACATGTCATTATAATCAGGGTCGTCTTATATTCGGGCCAATACGGTAATATAGTAATCTGAAATTTGTTACTGCAACTTGTAGTTATTATTTTGGAATGAATGTAAAACTGCTTAAAGGCATGATGAAAAATTAACTTGGTTTTAACAAATAGAACATTAATTATGTTGTTAAAGTAAAAATACAAAATAGAATAATAGTTTTTTTTTTTTTTTTGATAGCGCAAGTAGGGCTGGGCGATTAAAACGATAATTATCGCAATATAATTTTCCTCGATAAAACGATAATGAGAGTTCGTTAAATGTTCGATATAATGTTTATGCGCCAAAAACAGAACAAAACAGCACTACTCATTTGAGCCGTGCCACACGGAGCATTTATCTGCTCGACTCAAAGATCAAACTGCAGCGCAAGCTCACTAGAGCAGATGTGTTCACTCGCTGATGAGTCTGTCACTCGACACTAAACAGCGCTGTGAGATCCAGTGTGAAGCGCTTGAATTCAGAGAAGAACACAAATGACTGATTTAAACTAGTTTAAAGGCAGATGAAACAGCGCTGACAAACAGGAGAAACACTGTGAGCAACGATACAGTCAGAAGGCTTTAAATCTACAAATCGCCACTGATTTCCGTGGATTTACTGTAGGAACACTAACTGCACCATGGTATTGTGGCAGAAATGTGGGATATTCATTTATTTTATTATATTATAGTAGTTGAATTGTATTATATTATTATTGTAGACATGTATTAAATGTATTCAAGGAGTAATGTAATATAATTACAGTATTTTTTTGTGATTAAGCTAAGCGTTGTGCAATTATACTGAATGTATTTAGACTACTGTTTTTCATACAAATACCCAGAAATAGGCTTGTCGCGATAGACGGTGCTGACGGTTACGTCACTTGCCCACCGCGTCACCGACCCCCACCATCGTTTAGATTTTTTTATAGTAATAAAAATCATTTAGTTCAGTAAAAGAACAGACACTGCAATTAAAAACTGAACGCGGCTGCTCAATGCAGCGTGCTGAACGACAGTCGCATCACAGATCAGATTTCATTTCTCCAGTGAGGAGAGTGAGTCGAGCTGACTGACAAGAAGAGTGAGGTGAGACAGACAAGACGATCGCAGATTATTTAGTTTCGAAACGAAATGCAAAAGTGCCTGTTTAGCAATATTTTGGATTTTGAAAGCCTGTTGACTTTTGCCGTTTATCTAAGGTGATTTTGGAAGTTTTTTTAAACATTTGTTTCTTATTTAATTGGTTTCACATTGTTTGCTGATTTTTACTTTATTTAAACTTTGTGTCATTTATTTATTTTATTTGACATCAAGGTGTATGCCGTGCCTCCAAGCTTTCTTACGTTTCTTATTTATTTGGTTATATATTATACGTTTACTTGTTTCCAGTTTTGTGCATTTAAACTTTATGTAAGTTATTTATTTTATATTAGGCATAGCCTGCCCTATAGCATGGTGTATTTTTATTTGTTTTGTTAATAAAAGTTCTATGTTTTATATATACGCTAAAGTGAGTTTGACGTTGTATTTTGTTGTTGCATTCAAGCAATGGACGCCTAATTGCCGCTAATTCTAAAGTGAAAGTAAAATGCGCACTGTGCTTTTAAGCTATTTAAAAGCGAAGGAAAAGAGGGAAAATTCAAACGAACTAAAAACGAACAATTGCTTTACTCAATTGCCCCTATTTGAAAGTGAAAGTAAAATGCACACGCCGCTTTTACAAGCTATTTAAAAGAGAAGGAAAGTGAGGAAAAGAGGGAACGCTCCGCCCCAGTGGTGATACCGGTGATACCGGTGTTGTCACACGTCGATTAACCGGTGGGAAAATTTCCTCACTGTCACAACCCTACCCAGAAACAATATAGTTTCAATTTTTCCATGGTACTGAGGTGCTGCATGTGTGGTTTTAACTGTGATCTCATGATCTAAATGTATGCTACTATGGAAGACCAATGGTTAATTTTAATAAAACTCAGAAATTAAAACATTTTGTAAAGAATAATTACATTTCACCATATAGAAATGAGGTTGTTACAATTTTTACAGATGTTACTGTTTTTGATAATGAACATAAATTTACATATGCATCATTACATAATTTATCGAGATCATGTTTTGGCTATATCGCCCAAGTGTAAGCAATGTTTATTTTACCTGGAGAACATCACTGGTTTCAAATATCTGATTGTCAGTATTAAAGCTTTAAAATATTGTATCTCTAATCAAGATTAAGTCAGCCTCTCTGGTGACTAAATGCAATAATTATCACGGCCTGTTTGTTTGCGTTCTTTAGGTCCAAAGCCCAAAGTGAAAGAAGATGACTTTGAGGATCTTCTATCCACACAAGGTTTTGGCTCCAAAACTGACAAGAAGATGCCCAGAACTATTGCTGAGATGAGGAAGCAGGAGCTGTCTAGAGACATGGACCCTCTCAAACTTCAGGTATAACTGTTTAACACAATTTAAAAAAAAATTTTTTCCCTCTCCTCAAGAACATACTTGCATGTAGATGTGCTTTGGGCTTGATGATGCTGTTGTTTGTATGTTAGATCTTAGATTGGATCGAGGGGAAGGAGAGGAACATCAGAGCGCTGCTCTCCACGCTGCACACGGTCCTGTGGGAGGGAGAGACCCGCTGGAGACCCGTCACCATGGCAGATCTGGTCACACCTGACCAGGTGAAGAAGGTCTACAGGAAGGCTGTGCTTGTTGTGCACCCAGACAAGGTTTGATTTACATTCACATATTTACAACTTGTATAAACCATTTTTGTAACAGTAAATCGATATGTTCTGAAGTCGACATGAATTCAAAATTGGCCCTCAAGTCTTATTGCACAGTTTGTCAGTGCACATTATGCGTTTAATCTTTTCATCACAATGCAAAAATCTGGCCTCTAAAATGATTTTTTTTCTGCTGAAACAACTGAAATACAAACTTTATCAGATAAAACAACTTTATTGTTTTATTTGTTGTTTGTTTATAATTTGTTTTTTTATTTTTATAGTTTTCTTTTTATTTCAAGAAAATAATGATTAAAGCAAAATGTTAGTTATAATTAATATGTTAATCAATATATTAAATATTAATTGAAACAATATATGAATAAATAATATGGATACAAAATTATAGACGATGTTAATAAAATAATAAAATGACAATTTTATTGTATGTATGTGTTTGTTTATGTTTTTGTCATTGATGTTTATTATTTTATTGTTTATTTATTTTGTAATTATTTATTGTTTGTTTTCTTTTCATTTCAGACATGTGATTTGGGGGGGGGATTTTTTATATTCAAGAAAATATTTATTTTTAATTTTTTAATATATTAAGCAATTGATGAATTATTAATGAAAACAATATATGAATAAATATTATGGATACAAATATTTATTGACAGTAATACAAATATTAATGTTTATAAAACGTATTGTATGCATTTATTTTATTAATTAATATTAATTTATTTGTTTATTCTTTTATTGTTTATTTATGATTTATTTGTAAATTATTGTTTTCATTTCATTTCAAACAATGGGGGGGGGGAGAATATATTTATTCATTTTTTATGATATTAATAAATATATTAATTATTAATAAAAACGATATATGAATATGGTTACAAATTTATTGGTAGTAATACAAATATCAATTCATATTATTTGTCATAAAAAGCAGCTTTGTCATTTTTGAAGGTCCAAAAAAATTATTTGTTTAATTTGCATGGATGCACTATAAATCCCATAGCATACATTAAGAAACAAATGGGGTCAGTTCTGATTTCATTCTGACTTTTTATTCAGCGCTAAAGAATTACATTCTGATTACACACTGTTGGTGTGACTCTCATCTTTGTATCCAGGAACTATGGAGAAATAACTTTTTTTCTGGTCTTCCAGGCTACAGGTCAACCATACGAGCAGTACGCTAAAATGATCTTCATGGAGCTGAGCGATGCCTGGTCTGAGTTTGAGAACCAAGGAGCCAAAGCCCTGTTCTGAGCGTGCTCAGTGAGCGTCTGCCAGGAGCGGCGGGCCCCCTACAGGCAGCCTGAGGCACAGCGCTCTCTCCATACACACAGCTCTGAGAGAGAGATCAGTCAAGAGGAAGAAAACAGACCTCTTTCTGCTTGAGGACCTGAACTGTGATGTGCTCTTCTGAAGAGTGAAACCTGTGGCGCTGGATTTCTCCTCCTTCAAAAGGGGAACGTGCCAGCATCCTTTTGCCATTTGTAGATGATTAAAAACCATGCGCGCACACACACACAAACACCTGAGACTACAGTCTGTGTCTTGCACTTCAAAAGAACTCCAAAACAGATGGTTTCTGGGACGAAGACAAAATGATTATCACTGATTTTTTTTTTCTTGTCATTCTATGCATCACACGTTTTTCACTTTTTGTTTTTCAATCAGCGTGGCTTGTCAATTACTGATGTAAATAATGACTCGACGTGTGTGTGGATCATGTTCATATAAAGCTAAAGCAGAGGTTTTGACTTCTGTGCTCCACGATGTGAAGGCTTTTCATCACTTTCACTTCAGTTTTATCATGTTTTCACTGATCGCTAGTGTTAATTCTTTCTAGGCACCTCGTGGGAAGGTGTATTTGTGGGTTCAATTTCTGCAGTCCAAAGTGTATTTCAGTGGCCGAAAACAAACTTAACATCAACAAAAAGTGTGAGCTTTCCATATATTTTTTTTATCTAAAGGACCAATCAGAAATGTCTGTATTATTTATTGTTTTGAAAGCTGTACATGGCTAATCGATGGATATAAAAAGGACTAAAATAACAAATTTATTGCAAACGGTGGAACAAGCAAGCTAACCCTTTTGCAAAACTAAAATCATTCCAAAGCATCTACTAATATGAATGTGCTTTTTAAGATTATTGCTGGAATGTAAATCTTTTTTTCTTATTATTCTTGTACCATTATCATATTTTCCACAATATTCTATTTGATGTTTCCATAATCTCTTAATAATGACACTAGAAAGTTTGCACCGGTCCCTCAGGACATCAGGCCGAATTCAGTGTCCAATTGAAAAAAAGGAAAATGTCTGCTACAACTTAATAGACAATGAAGTGAGGGTGGAAATGAATATTGTTTTTATATATAGACCTAAATCAAGGACTGGATGAAAATGCTGATTCGTAAAGATTTGGCAAGTCGAGTTCTGTAACCTGCTGTATTTCTGCGATTATTCATATGATGCTTAAGGGCGATACGGTCGGACTAAACAAAACCAAAACCTTCATGTGTGTTACTGGCTTCTGAGAGTTCATCCATTAGTTTAGAGGGAAAATGTTTGCTGTTAAAGGGACTGAGGGGCTGGTTCAGATTGTCATTTCACCGTTTTGAGTGATTTTTGAAATGTTTTGGCTTATTCACCCTCCACCAAAGTCATAAACGATCATAAATGTTTCATACTGGACTGTGGCACTGGTGTTCAAAATTTTTCTTGGTTGTTTAATTTGTGAATAAGTTGAATGGGCTCTGATTGAAATTAATGACTGAATTTAGTCTAGAAATATATTGCCTTATTCTGTGAATATATACTTATCTTCCCCAAGAACTGAACAATGCTGCTGCATTTTGGTGGAGCGTGAATATCTTTTAATAAGACACATTTTCTCTCTTTTAGCCCACTCGGCTTTCCTTTGGATGTCAAACTAGTGTTTTTCACAAGCTGTCTCCTGCGATGGAGAACAAAATCATAACACCACGGTCTTAAAGATATTTTTGTCATGTTTCTCTCAGATTTTGACCAATAAACCCTAATCATGGTTTGGGTTTAGACTGTCTCTTTTATTGCAATTTTATTTATTTATTTTATTATTATTAGTCATTAATACAACTGCATTTTAGTGCCACGTTGAAAGGAGGATAATAAATTGAGAATAATCAAAATGAGGAGAATAAAATCTAATTAGTTTGTCACCTAATGATGAGTAAAATAAGTCAAATTCCTGTAAGAGAATTTAGGTCTGCAAGTATGGCGAGACCTACTGTATTTTCTTTAAAGTAAAGTGGAATATTTGTCATTCAGATGACATGAGTTCTATTTGACACAGCATACTGCCATACTACGAATACATTTTTGCAGTATGCAGAGCGGGTCAGATTACTTACAAATTGTAGTCCGTTACTGATTCCAAATTACATGACAAAAATTGTAGTCAGTAACTTAATCCATTACATTACACATTTTAGGTAATCTAATCAGACTACTTTCTGATTACTTTTGACCGTTTAAATAGGATAATCTTGTACCATATTGATATTAAAATACAAAGAGTAAGAAAATATATTGCATTCATTGTAATTAACAACATGACGTGCATTGAGCATTACATTATGCCAAGGTTTCCCAAACTGGGGTTCATGAGTTTAATGGAAAGCAAATAATTATTTAAATTATAAAAAATTAAAATAAAATAAAAAATCAAACACTTACAAAAAAAAAATGAAATATTTTGTTTACCTGCATGCCATGTGACCATTAACCAACGTCAGCGAACCATGAACATGCAAATGTGATAATTAAAATATTTGTTTTAAAATCTCAAGGGTACTTCAAGTAAATATATTAGATGAAAGCGGTTCAGATGACAAAAAAGTTTGGGAATGCCTGCTTGTAAATGTACATGTAAATGTAAATAAGAAATAATGTGAATTTGTGCATTTTAATGTGCTTGAAAGACAAAAGCCTTTCAAAGACATGAGTGATAACTCAAATAAAAATGAACGTGTTCATCAGTAGTTGATGCAGTGTTGAAACACTTCTTAAACCTGAACTGATTTTTGTAAATCCAGAGGTCAAATGCTGTGTAGCCTCCTGACTAATAACTGATCTCTGTGTGAATGTCCACAAAACTGAAGACTTTCTGAGTGTATATAAGCATTTAAAAGACAAAAAAAAGCGGAATTAGGGAGAATCAATAAATTATGAATTATTTTTTGCTTGAATATGTAAGCATGTCGTCAATAAAAAAGTAACTGTTGTCTGATTATGAGTATTTTAAAATGTAATTTAATCTAATTACTTAATTTTTGGGATCAGATTACATGTAATCAGTTACTATACCCAGCTCTGGCAGTACGGTGAACAGCATGCAAGTTCTCTATATTTCTATACCTCTTTACTTAAGTCGATCCGTTAAATCGTTTGCTATGCATTTTCAATAGCATGCAGTCCGCTTATTAGTGGTCTCAGTTTCACGCAGCTTCGCACATCATTTGCGTCAGAATCATAGACTGTATAAAAACATGGACGTCACCCGTAGGGTTTCCTTGTTGGCTTCAGGAGAGAGAGCGGGAGGTTGCCGCTTGGTTAGAATGCACAGATCTGTGACATCATCATTGACCACAAGGCTTTTATTATGCAACTAGAAACATTTCCGAAGCTTTAAAGACTTAACCTCAAACACAACAAAATTTAGCTTTAATCGAGAACAGTTACAAAATTATAACACTAATTCAACGTTATAACTTAAATCCAACTTAAAAAGTAGGCTAATTAGGGATTTAATTAAGCTTGTATGCAGAGACGGACAGTAACTAAGTACATTTACTTGAGTATTGTACTTAAAGGCACAATATGTAATTTTCGCCGCTAGAGGGCGCATATTCAAAATAAACAAATAGACAAAGGCGTAGTTTGACGACACCGTGACTGAGTGTGGAATCATGGGAGTTGTCGTTCAGTGTATTCAGTATTGTAAGTTGCTTCAGAGGTATTGCAAGTATTACATACAACAATAAAAAAACTTTATGCATTGACATAAATAAGGAAATTTACTTTTGGTACTTAAGTACTTTTAAAAGCAAGTACTTCTGTACTTTTACTTAAGTAAATATCTGTCTTTACAACTTTTACTTGTAATGGAGTAATATTTGACCAGCAGTATCTGTACTTTCACTCAAGTAATGGAGTTGTGTACTTTGTCCGCCTCTGCTTATGAATGGATGAGCCGTTCTAACAGTTGCGTTAGTCGCCTATCAGTACTAACCGTCAAATGGACTACAGTTCAATTGAAGACCATCAATCATGCAGCAAATCTCTCGATCACCAAACCTTCTATAATCATCTCGGGTTTTAACCGATCATATAAGGAAAATTGACAGAATCACAGGTAGAGCTCGCTTGCTTGTTGATGGTCGACTGGTCGTTCGTGATGTGAAAGTAAGCTACTAAAGCAGACAGCCTTCAAAATAAAAGTCCTGTTGCTGTGATATACAATGACCACAGGGGGCAGCCACGCGTTACTTACCGATGACTGCGGAATAAAAGAAACAAGAGCATACTTTTTCCCTCTTCGTTGTTTGGAGCTAAATATTTTTAAAGTTCTTAATGTTTAAAAACTTTATATTTAAAAAAATATATATCCAAATATATATATTTTACATATTTTAAATCCATTTCAAAATCTCAATTTAAATGCATGCTTGCATGTGGACTGTTTAAATTTACATTATACTTAGCAGGCAGTTTCATCCAGTGACAAATGAAGAAATTACAAATTACAAATGGAGCAAAACAAGTGCAAGACCCACCAATATTAGCACTACCACAATGTGGAGTTTCAAATAGTACAAACACTACAGCAATATATCTGCAGAAAAGTAAACAGATTGTTTTCTTTATAAAACACGTCAATTCAATTCAAATGTATTGGTATAGTGGTAAACAACCAAAGGTGGCATCAATGAGGAAATAGTTCAGAATTATTGTATTATGTTTATTACAGTAAGATAAGAGTATATCCAAAGGTGAGGGATGTGGTGATGAGATACATCTTAGCGATAGAGATGTTGGGTTAATAATAGGACAGCTACTGGACCTCAGGATGGACATCTCATGGTTAGAGACATAATGTTCAGTGCAAAAAAAAATAAATAGTATTTTCCAAAAGTTTCATTACTCTTTTTTGGTTTTACTCTTTGAACTAAAACAGCAACGCATTATAAAGAATTTGCACATTTTAAAGACGACGTAGAGCACTAGAGTCAGGACAGTGATGAGAAAAGCGAACACATCCAGACAGTGGTACTGGTACCAGGTAAGGTTGTGGGCCTCGACACGCAGGTGTTTAGCGCCTTTATTGCGCATGACGAACTCAATCCAGAACACAGACTCATCCAAAGGCTTCACTGGTCTGTCATGATGAATCCTGGACAAACGCATAGCATTCTCTTTATACCTGAGGAGATGAAGAGAAATACTGTTATATGTCTGTGTATGCTGTGTGTAATGCAACTGAGAAAAAGAGCCCTCAAAATATCTAGACTGAAGTCCAGAGTCCTGTTATGCACTGACACCACTGTACTGTAAATCAAATGATATGAGTGACTTACGAGGGATCATTAATGACAGCATTGAGTCCATCCACCAGGTCTTGTGGCTGTGTGGTTTTGATGTTGTCCATGCTAACAGCAGCACCTTTGGCCTTCATATGAACCAAATTATCAGACTGGTCACCAAACAAGGGGATCCCAACCATTGGAACGCCATGATAAATGGCCTCATATATGCCATTAGTGCCTCCATGAGTGATGAATGCTCTGGTTTTGGGGTGACCTGCATCAGGAGACAAACATGGATAAACAAACAAGTAAAAGCAAAAGCCATTGTTACAGTAACACACTTACAATGGAAGCATACAGATAACAAAAATCACAATACATGCTCAGCAGCATAGCCAAAATACAATAAAATAAAATTTAATAATTTCAGTAAAACATTTAAAATTTCATTTTTATAAAAATATAAAAATGAGTTTAAACATTTTTTAATTAGTTTAAAAAATACCAAACCCAATAAATCATTCTGAGGGATCCACTTATAGATTCTGGTGTTTGCACCAAGAGTATCTGGCTTCTCTCCACCGTATCGCCATAAAACCTGCAAGCAAAACAAAACACGTTGATACGGCCACACTCTCAAGAGATCAATAGATAATGACAAAGACTTTATAGAGAATCACTAATGGATTAAATGTGGATATTCACTTTGAATTGTGACAAAATTAGCCTGGATAAAACTCATGTAAATTGAGGTTACTACTTTCTCATTCCAATCATATCATTGCTTATTTAATATGAGGTTCCATTTGTGCCAAAAATAAGTCGACTGCTTTGTACTATACATTTGTCTTTGTCTACAGTCATTGCCTACTTGTTGAGGTAAATCAGTATATGTTGATGTGTATGTTGTCTGTTAACGGCGTCTTAATCTGTCGTCCTGCCATCTTTTTCTCTGTTGATTTTGCTGTCATCTTATTCTGTTGTCCTGTTCTGTCATCCTTACTGTCGTCTTGTTCTGTCGTCTTTACTGTCGTCTTGTTCTGTCATCCTTACTGTCGTCTTGTTCTGTCGTCTTTACTGTCGTCTTATTCTGTTGTCTTGTTCTGTCACCATAACTTTCATAAGCGCGGTAAAGTTAGTTTCAGGTTTGATAATTCACTGCATATTCGACTAGGCTGCTTTAGGGACCGTCTGCAAATTTACCTCACAGTATAAAATGAAGTCCAATAATTCATTCAATTTAATGTTTACAGGATTATAGTAAATGCCTAGTGGGCTAACTGACTAAATATATTTTGTCAATATCTCACCTTAGACAATACTTCCAATTTCTCCCTTACTGTCCATACAGTACACAAACATTTTCATGAAAAAAATGAAAAAAATAAATAAGTAAATAAAATCGCTAAAAGTTTTTTCATGTTACAAAGGTTGTAGTATGTTTTTAGCAACAAGACTTACTACAGGTGAGATTTTGCCAATA